ACCACTGCATTGGCTCCTTACTGATCTTATGCTGGCACATCTACAACGTCTATAGCATCTGTTCAGTTTGCAGTAAACAATGACACAAAGAGCACAAGACAATATAAATCAATAAGATGTTTTAGGCACCCCGGCCTTTAAATATACTGTATATCTGATGTATTTCTGGACCTGGGCTCTTGTTTATTTTAGGACAAACAAAACTACAAACTCCAGTGGGCACGTGATCGATCTACTTTCAATAAGTCCAATTTAACTTGTCAATTTGCCAACAAGTTGAGGGACAATTCTTGCCACTTGGCTGCCTAATTAAAATAATTTATGCACTATTTAACAGTCACATGTTAAGATCCAGGAACCCAACATTTTACATTAAAATAAATACCATTTACTATGATGTTTCTTGAAGCTGTGTTTAAAAGTGTTGGACTTAGTGCTCTTATCAAATAAACATTATTTACTGTTTACTCCTCGTTTGCTCATCATTTGAGTTGTTATCAAAAATACAGATATGAGCAATATTTTTAGTAGGATTTCTTTAGTTAATTAAACTGAACTGCCCCATCTTGCCACAAAACGTCTAAAAAGACTGGACACGGTGCATGTAAATATCAATATGTAGTCTTGCGATATTAATTGATCTCGAAGGGAGGTAATTAATATAATACTGTTTGTTACTAATAGCAACCACAGTGATATTTTCGAATACACCTGTATAATTACAGCTGTAATGTGAACCTTTTGACTTGTAAACTCACATTAATATCTTTAACTGTAATGTCAACAACTGTAGAAAGTGTTATATTAACTCGTTTATCACAGTATCACTATAATCTATCAGATTATATATATATATGTACTGTCAATGATCAATACTCGGCAGTACGAGTGTGACCAGCGGCTGAAAGGGGGTTACCATGACGACGAAGCGTTTGATTGGCCGAGACGACAAGAGTCCCGCCTCTTTAGCGCGTCCTCGCCTAATAGAGCGTTCTGATTGGAGGATACTCAGCCCAGTTTTACATACCCGACATGCACTGCGGCAAAAACAATATCGTTTTGTTTACACCGATAAAGTTGAATTTTTAAGAGTTTGAGATGATATTTGTGACAATATTCACTGTTAAAAACACGATTTTTGTTGCTATTGTTTTTATTTTGTTACTTGTGTTAAGTAATTACAACGTCCCACCATGACAGTAGGGTATGAATAGTGTAGACTAAAGTCTGTCTGACCCACTCTAGAACCAGGAACTAAATGCTCTTTAGATATTTGTCTAGTAGGTTTCTCTTAAAGAGAAGCCCCCTAATGTTGTGAAAAATAAAAACATGTTGAGCTCCTGTCTATTATTATCATTCTCAGATTAGCTTGTAGAATATTTATATTTTCTGATAGACTCACCCTATAGTGTTATATTAACTGATGGATGTTACACACTGACACATCTACAAAGTACAATAATACTAAAGTTGCACATGTACAGTTTAGTATTTAGTCAAAGCTGCTAAAATATTTGCAGACCATCTTTACTTGCATATTGCATATAGTGTATATATTTTTCATTTATAGTCTTATATTTTGTAATATTCTTATTTTGTGATATCTTATTGTACTTCCACTTCTGTACGACGTTCCCTTATGCTGCTGTGTCTAATTTGAATTTCTCCTACGGGGATCAATAAAGATACATCTTATCAAATAGTATTTTACTGTTAAAAGAACCTAAATCTATAACAATATATATATAGTACTTTTTATCTGTCAATCAACTCCATGGCACTCAAATAAATGTAATGGAGTAAAGAGTAGTCCCCTTGAAATGTAGTGAAGTAAGAAAATACTCCAATTATTACAACAATTATTTTATTTGCTTCTATTTTCATGGTTTTACACTCATGATATATGTGTCAAAATCCACTTTCTTTCACATCAGTACTATTACTACTACAATTCTGCCCTTAAACAATGTCAGTGTCAAATTCACAATGTTTAGTTTATATACTCTTTTGTATTAGTTACTTTTGTTTTATACGAGTCAACAGAATATAAGTCTGAGACATCTTGTGTGAGTGAAAGAGTAAATAATAATACATTTTAATAATGTTTAACTAGGTAACTTTGTTGAAACAGGGGAGCTTTGATTAATGTTTTTCCTGCGTGACGCCACATGGGGGCCCACTTACACCACTTTTACTTCTAATAGAGGGCTAATATTCACACACTAACATGCACTAGTGAGCTATATGTCTATGATTCTGGGTATCTTCATGGAGGTATAGAATAAATAAGGTATAATACCATAAAACTTCTAATAATAATAGCCCCAGCGTCTATTGGCCTAAAACAGTGAACTCCCCCTTTATTGGGGACCGGCGTCTATATTGGACAACTGTTTAATTCCTTTAACACAAAACTCTCAAGCAGGTGACCTGGTAGTTTTATACATCCAGATATCGTCTATAAAATCCAGACCAGGCCTCTAATGGAGACCTTTGTTTATTTGTCAAAGCGTGTAGCCACACCAGGCTAGTGAAGGAGGCCTGTGTCTATTTTGGACCCTGCTTTTATTAGAAGTTTTATGGGTATAGGTATGTAAATTCTTTTCATAACTAACCCAACATGGCCTAGCCCCCAGTTACATCACAGAGCTCTTAACTCCCTAAACTCACAATCATATCCTGAGATCTTCAAGCCGACCTCTGTTAGCTGTCCCTAGGTCACGGCTGGTGACTAAGGGTGACCCTGGGGGCCCCTGAGCTCTGGAACTACCTGCCCGAGGAGATAAGGCTTGTCAGCACATTACCTGCTTTTAAATCATTGCTTAAAACTATATTTTTATAGGATAGCCTTTTGTGATGTTACTGTGTTGTTTCATTTTCTTTTATTCTCATATTGTAACTGTGTTTTGTATGATTGCTTCTATTTTATCTTAAGTTGTTTGTTTTTATCTCATTTATCTTGTCAAGCACTTTGTAACCTTGATAAATGCTATACAAATAAAGTTATATATATATTATTATTATAGGTAAGGTATAAATTCATCCATGGTGTGCCTATATCAGAATCAGAAATACTCCTTTTTTGGGGAAATGTGTTTGTTATAGCTGCTCAAGGTGCTCACACGACATTAAAGATACTACTAATAATTACATTTATTATATATTATATAATACATGTATTATTGTTATTATTATTATTACAATATCTAGAAATAGAAATACATATATATAAAAATATATAAAATAAAAATAGTAAAATATAATATAGTCTAAGTTTGTAAATTATAATACAATATATGACAATATATAGCGATTGAAGTGTCTGTCTAACAATATGTATAAAAATAGAAATAAATATATATAAAACTATATAAAATTAAAAGAAATATATACAAATATATAAAATTAAAATAAAATTATATAATAAAAATAGAAAATAGTAAAATTTAATTAAGTTTATACATTATAATACAATATATGACAATATATAGAGATAGAAATAACTGTCTGTCTAACAATATAACTAACAATATATAAAAATATATAAAATAAAAATAGAAAATAGTCAAATTTAATGAAGTTTATACATTATGATACAATATATGACAATATATAGAGATAGAAATAACTGTCTGTCTAACAATATAACTAACAATATATAAAAATATATAAAATAAAAATAGAAAATAGTCAAATTTAATGAAGTTTATACGTTACATTATAATACAATATATGACAATATATAGAGATAGAATAACTGTCTAACAATATATATATATATATATAATATATAAAATAAAAATAGAAAATAGTACAATTTTATTAAGTTTATACATTATAATACAATATATGACAATATATAGAGGTAGAGTAACTGTCTGTCTAACAATATATATAAAATATATAAAATAAAAATAGTAAAATGTAATTAAGTTTATACATTATAATACAATATATGACAATATATAGAGATAGAAATAACTGTCTGTCTAACAATATAACTAACAATATATAAAAATATATAAAATAAAAATAGAAAATAGTAAAATTTAATGAAGTTTATACGTTAATTATAATACAATATATGACAATATATAGAGGTAGAGTAACTGTCTGTCTAACAATATATATAAATATATATAAAATATATAAAATAAAAATAGAAAATAGTAAAATTTAATGAAGTTTATACATTATAATACAATATATGACAATATATAGAGGTAGAGTAACTGTCTGTCTAACAATATATATAAATATATATAAAATATATAAAATAAAAATAGAAAATAGTAAAATTTAATGAAGTTTATACATTATAATACAATATATGACAATATATAGAGGTAGAATAACTGTCTGTCTAACAATATATATATATATATATATATAAATATATAAAATAAAAATAGAAAATAGTAAAATTTAATGAAGTTTATACATTATAATACAATATATGACAATATATAGAGGTAGAGTAACTGTCTGTCTAACAATATATATAAATATATATAAAATATATAAAATAAAAATAGAAAATAGTAAAATTTAATGAAGTTTATACATTATAATACAATATATGACAATATATAGAGGTAGAGTAACTGTCTGTCTAACAATATATATAAATATATATAAAATATATAAAATAAAAATAGAAAATAGTAAAATTTAATGAAGTTTATACATTATAATACAATATATGACAATATATAGAGGTAGAGTAACTGTCTGTCTAACAATATGTATAAATATATATAAAATATATAAAATAAAAATAGAAAATAGTAAAATTTAATGAAGTTTATACATTATAATACAATATATGACAATATATAGAGATAACGTTAGAAGTTAAGTGTCTGTCAGTATATGACCGATAGCAGTTTAATGATAATGTTAATATGCTGACATCCTTAAAGACTGCAGTATATGTCAATAGTGTCACAAAATACCAATAAAAGAGCGGTGAAGAGGGGAGAGAACGACAGGAGGGGAGGGGAAATGGGAGGAGAGTCACACAGTTTAACTTTGGAGGAGGTTTGAACGGCGAAGGCCCTTTAAAAGCCGGAGTGAGTGAGTGAGTGAGTGTGTGTGTGTGTGTGTGAGTGTGGATGTCTGCCGTGAATCAGTAGAGTTCACTGAACCGTCGCGAAGAGACGTTTCCGCCCACAAGAAAGATGGCGGCTCCCTTGCTGGAGAACCTCTCGGAGTCCTTAGGTTCCACGGAGCCAGCGGTTCGACTCATATTATCTATTTTAATCGGTGAGTTTCGCCTCACACGCGAGTTACGGGCTTATTCTTGGTAGCTAGCCGAAGCTGACATCCCCTCCCCGGCGGCAGGTTTTGGGTCGGGAGTGCTGAGCCTTGCCCTCATTTGCTCGGCTGTGTGACTGTTAACACACTCACTTGCTAACCATATAACGCTCAGTTAACTGTGAACACACAGCCACAGGCGGCTGGACCGGTTGTTTTGGTCTGGTATTGTTTTAGCTAGCTCGGGTTAAAAACGCCGCAACAACAACAACAACAACAACAACAACAGAAACTGCTCGCGGACAAGTGCGGCTTTAACGGTCAAGTAACAGTTACTGTTTTCATGCTCAACGGCTAACTTGTGGCAGTTAACTGACATGGAGGTGGTGTGTTGGGGCTACTGTGGTGTCAACCGTCGGAATCTCTCCCCCTCTCTCCCTCCTCACCCTCTCTTGAATTAATTTGAGCTATTGGGTCAAGTGAGCTGGGCAGACTGGTAAAACACGCCCTACTACAGTTTGATGTATTGGTTTTTGTTGGCTTTTAGGATTAGCTTTAATGTTGGTGTTGGAAGTTCGGGTTGGTGGGAAATAATTGCCCCAATGTTGTTGTTTTTTGGGGGAGGAGGGGAGGAGAGGGCGCTTTGACAAGGAGTGAATGAGAGTAGGCTGCCAAAATATGTCCCCCCCTTCCCTTCCCTTCCAAAACCCTCCATTTTCCACTGAATTGAATAGAAGAGAGGCGCGGGGGTTAAACATGTTGGAAAAAACCGCGATTTAATGTGACTTTTTTTTCCTCTTTAAAGTTTACAAACAAGAGTCAGAATCAGAACTGGTTTTCAAACTTAAGGAGTTTAACTTTTGGGTATGTTGGTGCACAATAAACACAGAGAAATGTGAATAAAGATGAACAAGAGAGACAACATGACCTTTATTTAAATAAGATGAAATGAAGAGTTGTGCTGTCAGCAGAGATGTGCAAAATGTTGTGAGGGGAATGCAACTTTGAAGTGTTTTATTTGAGGTTTTAACATGTAGCCCAACTTAGGACCACAGGGTCTGGGTGTCAGGGGTATATATGTGTAGGGGGGGAGGGTGTCTGTCCTCGTTGAACTTTGTTCTGACACATGGACGTGTCTGTTTCTCACAGCAACAATGCAGCAGACTGAACGTGGCCATTCATATCAGACTTTGGTTGCCTATCACTTGAAGCCCTTCAGTCAGCCCGTTGCACGCTCCTTGTCCCAGTGTTGCTTAATGTGTCTTGCATAATATTGTTGTAATATAGTAACTGCCTTGCTGTACATCAGTGGAGCTTAGAATATATCTGGTGTTTTTTTTTGTCAGTGCTCCCTCTGTTATACATAGGCTGATATAATTTTGCTGCTTTACAGGAGCTACTACACACTGACGCAGTGTATGGAACTGGATATTTGATATTAGATCCATTGCTGTGCTGTGTATATAGAAATCTGCTGAAAACGCAACAGCTACAAATTAGTTTCGAAAGAAGCTTGTAAGACCGCAGCCAAGTGACTCAGATGATTAGCCCTGCCGCGGCTTTGTACTTGACTTATTGGATTGCAAAAGTTTTTAAAGGATAAGACCGGTGTTATTCTATTTTCCTACTAAAACACCCAAATCCCATTAAAAAAATAATGACTCTGTTTATGTGTCTTTCAGATCATTCGGTCTGTGGGTCTAAGTCTAATTTTTACTTTCTGAAAAGATTATTAATAATAATAATAATAATACTCTAGTATTAAGATGCGCTGGTGAATATTTATGGCAGCAGGATGGTGCACGTGGCGTTGACTTAAAATAAACTGCAGTGCTCCCCTTTCATCGCCATGAAGGAGCACGTCACCCAGTGCAACAGTGTGGGCCATTGATGTGTGTTTGGACAACAATGGATGTCTATGGCAGAGAGGAATAAGATATAGCGGGATTTGGCTACACCGACAGTACTTGTTGGATCACTTCATTGTTGGGTTTTGGTCTTATTTAAAGTAACGCAGTGGAAGCAGATGGAAACTTAAATTATTTATCATTTCACGTTAAAGATCAAATTGAGCTCATTTTATATTATAAGCTGCGTGTTATGTTTCTATGTTGCTGCAGTGCATGTAAATAATGCCATCCCCAGCCTTGATATCAGCTAATTATAGATCTCTGCCAGACCCAGGAAGGTACAGGGACTTCTCATCCAATTAAAAAGAGTTAATTAAAATGGTACAGTATTTCTCCAGAATCATATCATAATTGTAGGTATAGTATAGGTATAATATAGCAGTTTGGGGATGTTCATAATGCATGTAATCCAATAATACATTATATGTGTGTGTGTGTGTGTGTGAGAGAGAGAGAGAGAGACACACACACACACACAATGTGTTTTTACCACAAGGTCACTGTTAATATCACAAGGTGTCAACAACGGCTCACTTCGCTGATATGAAGTCATGCACCGTAGCTCTATTAACATTTTTCCCCTCTCTGTCTGTCTTGCAGGATATCCCTGTGCTCTGGTGTACCGGCGGTTCTTGTTCTACCAGCCTGCAACAGTCATACACTTGTTCCACGCGTTCTCTGGACTGGCTCTAGCAGCATTCAACTTTGGTGAGACGAAGCGTGAATTAAGGGCGTGTGTTATTTGATTTAACTGTAAAACAACAACAAAAATGAGAGCATTATCATGTATAGTTGTGATACATTACCATACCCGTATTTTAAATACAAGTTTCTACTCCCTGAGTTTGTTAAGATATGTGGGAGGCCTTTCAAACACACAAAGGCTACGTTTTAATGAATGCATTGTGTGTATTCTTGATATCTAACAAACATGTTGAATGCATTTTCTTCCCCAAGTCAAGCTTTAACTGCTTTGTGGTGCATTGCTGCATTTCTAATGTGTGTGTGTGTGCACAAGACCAACAGAACAGAGAACCACTTATTTAGAAAGTCCTTCATGGCGCTACTAGCAGTCAAAAAGTCAGCACGGTGCCTTTTTAATTTTTATTTAATATTTAGGGAGGCACAATTAATTGAAATATTATCTCATGTTTAATATTTAATTCCATATTTTACATAATTAATGAAAAACTAACATCTAGAAGCAACCCTTGACCTTTCACCCATTTCTTTTGGAACATAAAGTCAGAAGGAGATCTAGTTGAAGACTTCATGTGGATGAATCATCAACTATGGTTGAGTCATTTCTGGGTTGACAGGAAAGTAAATGTAGTTCTCTAGAAACTATACCAGCAGGTTTTACAACTGTAAATTTACATCTAAATGTTTGTGGTATTTGGTTTTTTTTTGCATGTGGCAGAGGCTCCTCCTTAATTTACTGCAGGCTTAATATACAGGAAAAAGGCTCTGAGTACACACGTTGATGGCTGCAACTAATAATTATTTTCATTATCGATTTAATAAGCTGATTCTTTTCTCCTTTAACTGATTAGTTGTTGCTTTAAGTTACAAGAGCCCAGTGTGATATTTTCATATTGCTTGCTTCCTGTGTGTTTTGCCTCATGTGATATTAAACTGAATATCTTTTGAGTTTTGGGACAAGTAATTTGAATAGATTAAGATTTCCTGCTATGCACGCCTATGTTAAAAAGACAAACACATTTTGAAGATGATTGAAAGATAAAAAAATACACACACACACACACACACACACACACACACACACACACATCTTAATTTAGCTAACTAGCTAGGTAGTGTACATCAATAGTTAGCTTACATTTTGCCTACATTAGTTAACTGACTATATGCCGCTTTTATCTTTTTAACCATCTTCAAAATGTGGTTGTCTTTTCAGCACATATGAGCTCATCACATAGCATATCTTAGTACAGGAAATGAGAACATTGTAAGGGTATTTGTTGCAGAGAGTAAGTTATAACAGGCATATCTGACTGTTATCTGACATTTCATTGACACAACAAATAATCGATTAATCTGTCAATTATTGACGATCTTAGATAATGAAAATGATAATTGGTTGAAGCCCTCCATATAAATCAATTTACTGTCACAGAGATAAAAAAGAATTCACGTTTGAGAAACTGGAATCACCGAGTTTTTGTCTGTTTGCTTAAAAATTACATTTATTGATTATCAAAATAGTTTAAGATACATTTCCTGCTGAATGACTATGATGACTAGTCGCTTCAGCTCTACAGCAGAGTAGACTAACTAATAACTAATATTTGAGCGGCGTGCTGTAGTAAACACAAACTCCTAACACTGAACTCTTTCTCTGTCCTTTATTCTGTTGTGGCTGCACTTGGATTTTACAGCAGGTCTGTTGCTTTATCTTTCTCCTTGTGGAATACTTTCCTTCCAACCCTCTTTCGAAAGCTCATTTCAAGTCAGATGTGTATCATAGATTTGCCTTGTTGTTCTTTCTCCATCTCTGCCAATATTGAACTGTGCAGGGAAAATGCTGTTGTCATGTCCATTCCTACAGGTCACACTTGACTGCACTCACCATCATCCCCATCCCCCCCTGTCCGTCTCTTTCCCAGGCTCTCAGATCTATCACTCCGCAGTATGCATCCTTGTCCAATTCCTGATGCTGAGACTCATGGGAAGGACGGTAACAACTGTCCTGAGCAGCTTTACCTTTCAAATGGTGAGGTGTCCTGGTGTTTCCTCTCCCCTTTGCGTCCTGGCTTACTTTATAGCATTAGCTTCCTTTTTGTCCGTTGTCAGACTCTTACTGCAGTGGCTCAGGTACTGCCAGTTTGTCTGCGCAGTCTAATATCTGATTTCTGCAATTTCCTTTTAATTGCCTTGTTAATGCCTACACACTTATAACCAAGGTCAGTAATCTTATGATACAGTCACATGCTTCCTGTGCAAATGCTGGAGCCTTTATTTTTGCATTCTCTTGCATTTATTGCCCACACTTTAAGAAATACAGCATTGAAACCATGGTTTTAAACAGTCATGCCCACTTCTGATTTCTGTTTTTTTTTTTTTTTAAACAGCACACATCCGCTGATTTGTTTTAGCGATTTCCTTGTTTTCATTATTTTATCCTGAAGTTTTGGTGTCACGTAGAACTGTGATAAACATCTGCTTGCTCACTGAATGTCCTCTCATTGTATTTTTCTGTAGGTTTACCTGCTGGCAGGGTATTACTACACAGCGACAGAGGAGTATGACATCAAATGGACTATGCCTCATTGTGTGCTCACACTCAAACTCGTTGGTGAGTTGACTATGACCCTCCTTAGACCCCTCTGTGTTCAAGTAGATGTTTTCTCATTGTGTTTGATTGGATATCTTCCCATTGCCGTCTCCCTCTGTACTCTAGTGAACGATTAACACACTGATAAACTGCCATCATGGCCTTTGCATGCTTTAAGGTGTTCATTCAAGTGATCATGACAGCATTAGTCACCCCTAACATAGTTTCTGACACCAGTTGCATTTTCTGATTACAGGTCTGTCATTTGATTACTATGACGGCGGGAAGGAACCAGTGAGTTGGTTGATCTCTCTTGCTTTTGCCTTCTTGATCATTCGTCAATATGTTGATGTCTTGGAATGTCCTTTGTTTGAGTTTTGCTCATTGTTTATGTCTGTTAGTTCTTGTAATTGTCGTGTATTGCTTTTTTTTTTTTCATTCTGTCATGTGTGAACGAGTGGTAGATGAGAGATCACATAAAGTAGATGATCAATATGTACAAATGGACAGATAGAAACAGGTTAGGTCAGTTACTAAATCCGTAGAGTAAAGTTAACTGAGTAAGCAATAAGTAAAAGAAGTGTAAATGTCAGGTCAACACATTACATATCTATTTTTCCTCCTAAAAGTGATCACATTCACGCCAAAAAATCAAATTTTACCCTCATTGATTCGCAGCATTACCCACAATCTAAGCATTACGCTTGAACCAACCAAAGATATTAAAGAGCTTGTTAAGAAATTATAGTAAAATCTTCGACCAGATTAAGGCAAAAAAAAAAAAGTACAGTAACTATCTTGTAGTAATAGCAATAGTAGTAGTAATAGTGTTTCCTTTTCCCTTTCTTCCACTCATCTAGCCTTGTTCCTCTCTAGTGCTGCTAGCATATTTGTGACAGCTGTTGCTTTATTTCATTTTTATTCTAATGAGTGTTTATGCTGTGCTTTTCATTCTGTTTAAACCTTTTATCTGTTTAAAAATGTACACATTCGCTCTCATCTGGTTAATATTATCAGTGTTTCAAATTAATGCCAAGGGTCCCTCTTCAGTACACGGTTTACAGTCTGCCGTTAAATGTCAGTATTTAGTGCAGTGATATTGAGTTTGTGGTCAGTCTAGATTGTGGTCAAATTCTAAAACAATCCTCTGTAATGAGATACATCCTGAGCCCATTAACATCCTTTTAAAATGACTTCTCTGCCCATTTCACTTCTCTTCCTCCTTCATCTCTCTTTCATATTGCTGTTTTTCTATCTTCTTCTTCTCATATCCTTAAACTCCAGTCCCAGTTGAGTTTAGAACAGAGGAATGGAGCCCTGTCGTCTGTGCCCTCACTGCTCGAGATGTACGGCTTTTCCTACTTCTATGGAGGCTTCTTGGTGGGGCCTCAGTTTACATTGCGCAGCTACCAGAAGCTGGTGGCAGGGGAGCTCACCGACTGCCCTGGACAGCCTCCAAACAGGTAAAATAGCTAGAAACTAATGGGTGATGAAAATAAAAATGAGCTGAAAACAATCTTTGTGCCACAACCCTGCAGTTAACATTATTGCTCCCACCCTCATCTTGTTCCTTTCTCTTCCAGTGTTATACCGGCTATGAAGAGATTTGCTTTAGGTTTTCTCTGCCTGGTGATTTATGCAATATTTAGTCCCTATTACCCAGACAGCTACTACTTAACAGATGAGTATGATGTAAGTGTGACAATATGTTTTAAAAGTAATCACTGAGTTTGCTTACATTTTAAAAATGTTCTCATTGTTTTTCTTACATTTCTGATTGTGTAAAACATAAATCTATGTCCTTTCCACAGGCTCAGCCCTTCTGGTATCGCTGTGTGTTTATTCTGCTTTGGGCTAAAGTCATTTTGTATAAATATGTCAGCTGTTGGGTTATAGCGGTAAGTAGCCTCTTGATCTGCAAATGTGTGCATGAAATGTTGTTGTGCTGGCTAATAGCTTCATGATTTGGTACCCAAAATAACCTTCATTCAGAAAGCTGTATTTACATACAGTACTCTACCTAGCTTAACACTTGCAGTGAGAGCATTAACAGCAAAACACCACCCTTTACAAAGCTTTGCCTACACTTACACATATATGATTCCACACCCTAATCAGTCCAGATTGATTGGTGCAGTCCCAGTTTATCAGGTTCTTGTGCTTCATGGTGTGTCCTTACATTAATGATGAGAATGATGTGTGTTTTGTGTGTTACAGGAGGGTGTATGTATATTAGCTGGACTAGGCTACAATGGTGTAGTGGATGGAAAGCACAAGTGGGACGCCTGTGCCAATATGAAGGTGTGGCTCTTCGAAACCACGCCACTTTTTACAGGAACCATTTCTTCCTTCAACATCAACACAAACGCCTGGGCTGCCAGGTCAGTGTCCGAGCCTGAAATCTGTGACGTTCTCTCTCTCCTATCCAAAGCAATGCTGTAAAAGTTAAATATTTACTTACACTAGATGATAATGGTGAAGTAGAGGGTAATGTGTTGCAATGCCCTCACAAAGTAGTTTGGTATCACATACCAAAAATTGTTTTAACACCACAGGAATCATCAGAGGAAGGAAGCAGAAATCCTCAGAGGGGTTTAAAAGTTTTCACCTTTTCAGACAATTAAAGAAACAGTTTCATAGCAGGAGCATGTGACATCGTTTGACGATGACTAAAGTGAGCAAAGCAATTTATTGAACATACAGTTTATTACATGGTCCATTTCGGTTGAACGCATTAAATACCTGAGCTCACTCTAACTGTCTATTATGGAAAAAAACTGCATAGAAACAGAAAGTGGAGGAGGGGAGGGGACACCTTTTAGAAAATGGAAGTAAAAAGTCTCTTATGTAACTAATAAGAACTTCACTTATAGATGAGATTATATTGTATAGCTGGTCGATTGAGAGCTTTCATGCCCTTGGTAGATAAAATAGGGACTTTACACTTAAAACACTCCCATTGTTTGACCTACCAATTTCTTTTTTTCTATTTATAGTCACATATGTGCCACTTCTGATTTATGATTCTCTCAGCACACATGTAAGCAGTTTAGTATTAAATGGGTTGAGTTTGATATTATATTTTTGTAAGCCCTTTTCCTCTTGAAGCCTGGCTGGATGAAATTATAAACATGCAAGCTTTTTATAAGGCATTTAAATTCACATACATCCGACCAAAGGAAGAAACCAGTGTGAATCAGAGAGGCTTGATTAATTAGTACGAGCAGGACAATGTTTGATTTATGGAGATGCCCATTTAGTGGTCAGTATGCTTCGAACACACTAGTTATGTCTGAAATACCCTTTTATAGCCATTCTAAGTGGCCACATTCAAAGGCGGTGTGAAAAGTCAATTGACAGTCTCTCCTCAAAGGCATTCAAAGTGTTGCGCTCGGCTGTACACACGAAAAACGGGCAGAAGTAGCTGTGTGAAGTATGAAAAGAGGAAGCTCAGAGAGAAGTTCAAATGCTGAGTACTTTCTCACCTCTGCACCTGGCCAGTCACGGTGTTAAGAGAGCTTGCTTGTACGATTTTCAGCAAGCACTTTGTTTGGAGGAAACTGATGCTTAAAAGGCCACAAGCAAAGCTTTTAAACAGCAGAACTTCATGTACTTATTTGTCTGACCCTGCTCTCTAGAGTTAATACTGCAGCTTGTTACCAGTGTGCTGTAAGGAGAAACGAAACACTGCACGTTGCGGATTGAAAACAGAACGTGTACACTTGTCTTAGATATTATAAAAGAGTCTGGGCCAGTATTGAATTGACGAGTACCCTTGTAGAGGACGCAAAGTTGTTGAAATGTTTTAATATAACCTCAGTTGCTATGCAACAGCAACTTCCAGGTAAGTGAGTGCTTGCCATGTAGGCTGTGGTAGCTGATGCATTAAGCCTTTCTGACTGCTTTTATCCAGATTTTTGGTCAAAAAAAGGTGTTCTGTGACTCTTGACACATTTTGTATTTTGTCTTTTTAAGACATGTCTTCAAGCGGTTGAAGTTCCTTGGCAACAAGTCCCTGTCTCATGTGACGACACTCATCTTCCTGACGATTTGGCACGGCCTTCACTCCGGATACATCCTGTGCTTCTCTATGGAGTTCTTCATCATCACTGTAGAGAGACAGGTATGCTCCAGGGCAGAATCTAGGGATGGGTAACCTAAGCACAAACCATGAGGGTATTTATTCCAGTTGGTGGGTAAATTTGTTGTTGTATTTTCTCCAGAAAATGTTATCTTTGTGCTTTTTCAACGAGAGACTCTTTATTAAATAGCATGACATTATTGATCAAATGCACCTCACTGCGGAATATACTTGTGATTAAATATTGACTACAGTCACAATTCGGCATCAGTTTATTACATAACCATTCTTTTACTGTATTACTATAACCACTATGAAATAAGTCTCTCTCTCTCTCTCTCTCTCTCTCTCTCTCTCTCTCTCTCTCTCTCTCTCTCTCTCTCTCTCTCTCTCTCTCTCTCGTGTGTGTGTGACAGGCCTTGGCACTAGTGAGGGACAGTCCCTTGCTGACGAAGCTGGCCAACAGCCCGCTCTACCCTCTCATCTATGTAGTCCAGCAGTTTCTCCACTGGCTCTTCATGGGCTACCCCTTAGTGCCGTTCTGCCTCTTCACTTATGACAAATGGCTGAAGGTAACACATATTTCTCACAGACCACACAGGTCATAGGATAAATATGGATGCTCACACTTGTAAGCTTTTTGTACCGTCATCCAGGTTTGGGGAAACGAGAAAGAGGACCCAGTTTGAATTACCAGGTTTTCTGTCTGAAAACTGCACTGCATTAAGATAATACAAAGAGGTGGGGGTGCAATTCTGGGGCCAGTTTCACCGAATGTGCAACATCCGAGCATTGCAACATGAGATCATTTTGACACATTTAACTAATCCAAACAAACAGCATACTTGCTACCCACGTAAGAGCATTCAAGAGCCCTTTTAGGAACCAATTGTGTATCTGTGGTTTGTGAACAACAGTCATTTGTGGGACAGGATGTTGCCACCATTTGTGATCTGCGTGTAAGTAGTGCTTCCAATTCACTTCAGTTAAACCAGGCCTCGGGAAGAATAGAGCCAAGAGTTAAAAGGCTTATCGGATATCAAAACACTGCACAGCTGGTTAAGATACTATGAGAGAGGCTTTTACAACTCCGCGTTTCTTTTATGACGTCATGAAATATCAAGTCGACTTTATTTATACAGCCCAAACTTACAAGACACAGATTTGAATCGGTGCTTTACAACCTGCTCCGCCCTCTGTACTTGATTCAAATATGGACATTTTCCTAAACAAAAACCTTTTTAACTGGTAGAAAAAAATGGAAGAAACCTCAGGAAAAGCAAAAGAGGAGGGATCCTCCTTCCAGACATGCAATAATGTTGTGTGTACTGAATAAACTTTAATAGCAACAGTGAAATTACTAAATTACTATGGTGAATTTTGCCAGGTACAGTAAACAGCAGAAATACGACAATCTACCAGGAATGTGCGCTTATACGTATTTGATTGGACGTTGCAGTGTTTTGTTGTTTTTTTTCGTTGGAACACTCTCTTGTATCGGTGAAAAGAAAAGGAGGACTGCAGCTGTTGTCTTTCTGAACATGGCCTTAAAGGCAGCTTACTGAAAACAGCAGCAAGAGGAGCGTCTTTAACACGGACAAAAGATAATGGATAGGTTTCCAGGAATTGGAACAATGTGTCAATTGACCTAGTTCGTTGTTCTGAGTGGGGAAAGTGGTTGGTATTTGTACACTGGGTATTGAGGGGAGAGTAGCAAGGTTAGGTTAAAGACAGGACAATCTCAGACGGCAACTGGGGGATAGGCAGAGCAGGTGTCATCATAACATTAGAATAAATGAGAATTTGAATTTGACTGTCACTTTTTGATTTTCAGGTGTATTCGTCCATCTATTTCTGTGGACACGTGGTCTTCCTCGCAGCCTTTTTAATCATACCATACCTCCGTAAGGCGCTGGTGCCTAAGAAAGAACGGAGCCAGATAAAGCAGGATTAAAACTCGGTACTAAGAGCTGGCATGGTAAGCAAGTGCAGGCCACTTTCAGTCAGTAATGTAGAGACAAAATTACAAGCTGTGAATTAATTTTGAGGGTTATAATATCTTTGTGTTTCCTTTCAGGTCCGTCGAAGGCTGAATATCCACTGAAGGGAACTGTGACTTTCAAGGAGCAGAATGGAAAATATTTTAAGGCCTTTAGTAATATAAATATATATATATGTCCATGTAAAAATAAATTTCTATATATTTTTGTGTTTTAAATGGGAGGGTGTTTTTATAAACATTTGGAGAAATGTTTACAGGAAATGACCATTGTGCCACATGGGGTAATTGTGAGCCAATCAGGGGCGATTTCCTGTTTTGGGGTTTTTCTTTCTTTTTTTTTTTTGTTAAAGAAACCTGGAACTTGTTGGACTTGAGAGACTTACATGCTGTCGACACAGAATTGCACTCACCAATTCACGGGATCAGAGTCTGTCATTGGCTCCAATGTGTTTGTTTTTGTTTCATTTCTCTATTTCACGTCAAGCACCCACATTTATCTGCAGCAGCAAGTCTTCACGGGATATTTAAGCACAGGGCCAGCATACATGGCACCATCTGATGTAATACAAAATGCTTACAGCAAAAGACATAATAATGATGATGATGATAATGATAATGATAATAATAATAATAATAATCAGGGGGTTGTTTCTTGAAAATGGCTGCCAGTGGTTATACAAGCACTGTAAATCACACACTGAACACTAACCCCCAACTCAAAATGGCCTTGTATTAATGAATGTTTTTACATTACATTTGTTTTGGTTTTAATTGATTTGTGATGAAAGAGGAAAAAAAAAAAAGACTTGATTTTATAGAGTTTTAACAGCTTTTATGAAAAAGAAAATTTTGTAGCTTTGGATAAGATACAAGAATTTGCATTGTTCTCCTGCCTTTCCTCGTTTGATGTTGCTGGGGGGGGTTTGTTTTTTTCTTGCCGTGTATCCTCTTCTTCTCCCTCCGTTCAGTCGACGCCACTCCTCCGTCGGCCGTGATTCAAGCCCTCGAGCTCTTGAGATACACTGAAAGTGAAACATTTCAGTTGGAGACTTGCACACTGCCCAACCAAACAGTCACTACAGTTGATCATTTTTGGTTCATCTTATATTCACTCTGGTCACCATGAAAAAGGCTGTTGGTTGTTTGTTGTTTTTAAATTGAGGAATTGCCTCATTTGGAACTGGAAGGAAAACAAAACAAAAATATATGAAAAAAAAAAGAAATCCACTTTTGTTGTTTCACCCATGACCTGCTCTTCTGTTTCTTACAGCAGGTGGTGATTAAAAAGTGTGTGAACTAGAAGCATCCCACCCCACTGTGGGAATGCCTCTCTATTTTGTTTATTTAATTTTTTTCTGTCGGGGGGGGGGCTGTATAGTCTGATCCATGGGATGCTGGAGGAAGGCCCAGCACTGCTACTGCTGCTGCCGTCTCTCTCGCAGACTAACACACATGGAGAGGACGAACCTCACTGTAGCAACAGCCCAGATTTTAGTAATATTTATACATGACATGGTGATTATTAATTGATGTGAATTGCTATTTCAAGAGACTACTTTTTTGCCTTATTCCTACCAAATGTACAAAGGAAGAAGAAAACTTGGGATGGAAAAGGGGGAGGGAGGGGAGGTGGGGGGGGTGATTTTCAAATACAATTTTATAATGTTCATTAAAATGCTGCATTTCAAGCAAGGACTCTGTGTAAGTTATTGTGTGTGTGTGTGGATGCCCCATTGCCTTCATGTGTCCTGACAGGGGCAAGAAAAGGGGTGATATGACGTCATTTTGCAGTCTTGGTTTATGGAGGGAATTCAGGAGAGAAAATCACATTAATATATGTACTCAAGTGTCACTCATCGTGCAGGTCCAGGGTTGAAACGTGCTGAGATGAATTGCTGTGTGTTAAGGTCTGAGTCACTCTCAATGTGCAGTAAAAAAAAAAAAACAGCTAGAGCAGCAGTCTGGTACAGAGCTGGTGTGGGCCGGAGAGAGAGAGAGATAGAGGGAGGGAGAGGGAGAAGGACGCAGTGTGGGCGGGTTAAGAAACGCCGAGAGGGAGGGGATGCCAGCGTAACATTCCCACCGTTTTTTTTCTTCCCCTCTCTCTCTCTCTCTCTCTCTCTCCTCCGTAGAGCCGAAAAAACAAGGACATCCATCGGTCTCTTACCAATCTTTCCTCATCTCCTCACCGAGTCTAACGTCAGACTGACATATTATACCCCCTGTCATTTCTCGAGCTGCTGCCTGCGAGAGCACCCGTGTGTCCTCTCTCTCTCTCTACCTGAGGGGGGGGTTTGTTTTCAGCCTGCGGGGGTTTGGATCGCCGAGCCGAGCGGCAGGGGCGTGAGAGGCGGATGCTGCGAGCGTAGAGGCTGGGTACCAACCAGGAGCATCACCGCACTCGCCACGGTAACGTCAAAATCGGCTGTTTTTTTTCTGCTTCAGCTAACCTTCATTTCTGCGACATGTCCTCTCCTTAAGCTCTTCAACATGCCTATAGGCGGCCATGGAGCCCAAGCAATGTGTGTCAATAGCAGCCTGTAATGTAAAAATCGGCTGATTACTGTCGCATAGCATGTTTCTCTGCTCTGGGATGTGTGTGTGTGTGTGTGTGTGAGCCTGACCAACCTGTGCACAGATTGACTCTCCTGTTTTATATACATATATGTCCTCTTTTTGCTATGTTCTTCTACAGTGTGTTTTATGTGTATGTTGGACTGCAGCATTGGAAAAAACGTAGAGTCCTGTTATGTCAGTGAGAGCTGGAAAAAATCGCCCGCCCCAACCCCTCCAAGGACTCGTTTTTCAGTTGTGGCCACTGCCACAAGACAGCAGCTGCATTTTTTTAACACCTAACGAACCACAATTAAAACATGGGGCAAACACCCACACAAACCACATGCAAAAAGCCCATTTTAGTGACACACTCACAACCAGGTACGTGCATGTTCCAGGTATTTCCAGCTTCTGCAACTGCAAGTCAGTCTGATTTTGAGGAGCGCCACAAGGCAGCGTTATGGTGAAACAATTATGGATTATTGGTTTATTAATGCTGATTCAAAGTTCATCATGTAGGGCCTGTCCAGTGCCTCCAGAGGTTACATACATGGCACATGAGTTGACAAAAGAGCAACATAAAAAAAACAACAACCCTCTGTGCACCATTTGATAGGCCTGATCTGTTTCTGTCTCTCTCTCTGTCTTGTACCTGTCTCTTCCAGTTCTGATCAGTTGTTGATGCATGTACTCTATCCCCCCACCCCCACCACACCCTTCCCCACCCCCTTGCCCCCTCTACCTTTTCCTTTCCTTTCCTCCCTCAGATGGACAGAATGAATTTTCTCTCCTTCTTCCTCCTTTGCTTGACTTCGGTTGCCAATGGCAACAAAGGTCAGTTCCTCATCCTTTTGACTGTTATTGTGAAGTGTTGAGATGAAGGTTTAGATTGCCATGGGTGCACAAAGACCTGTCAAGGTGCTTGGGCAGGGCCATGGCTGTTCAGCCCTGAAATGCTCCTGATGACTTTATTGCTATCCCTCATACGTGTAATCACCAATCATAGCGTCAGTTTCCTCATTACGTAAACAGTGCATTTGAGACTACATTCATATTTATACGTGTTGTGTTTCGTGTTCGTGACCCAGTGTGCATGTGCCTGTGCTGTGACTCTGAGAAGATGATAAATCTGTTTCCTCCTCTATAGCAGATTTATCATCCCTGATAACCGTGACTCTGATTCAACATCATTGTTCCAATGATTATCATGCTTAGGGGAAGGCGAATGAAACAGACAGCGTGGAGGGAGAATGTCAGAGAAGGAGGTAGAGGAGAGTGATGCAGGGAAGACGAGGAGATTGAAGGAGAGATGGAGTGTCAGAGAAACACAGAGAGAGAGACGGGGGGGGGAGAGGAAAAGGAGCTGTGACAGGAGAGGACGTGGCCGAAAAGACGCAGGCTGATAAGGAGGGAGGAGGAGGAGGTGGTGGGGAGAGAGGTGGTACGTGAGATCAGGTGACACGAGGGAAAAAGGAAAAAGTCTGATATACCAGAGTGTGTGTATATATATATATGTGTGTGTGTGTGTGAGAGAGCGAGACAGACGACGAGGGGTGGGTGAGTGTTGTGGGGATAGAGTGACAGAGAGAGGAGGAGTGCCAGGAGAGACAGACAGAGATGGAATGGGATGCCTCTCAATCTGTAATCCCGGATGTAATCCACAGGCCTGATGCTCAGATTAATGCTATATAGCAGAGCAGAGGAGGGAGGGAGGGAGGGGGGAGATCAGCCGAGGGGACGGGGGGTGGGAGATAAATGACCAAAAAGGGGACATGGCAGAGGACTGTGGGAATAGAGGAGGAGGAGACGGTGTCAGGCTGGACCTTGAGAGGAGACGATGAATGTCTTTGATTGGGGCTGGGTTTCAAACCAATGTACTGTTTTGGTACAGACCCAAATTTCTGAAAATCTCCGTCAGATTTGACCTCTTTACTTATTCAAATCAGGATTATTTTATTCAGGTTAAGTTCTTGTTGCTGAATTAAAAATGTATTTTGTTAAAGAAAATCAGTGATCAAAGAGGCATTGAAATGTCAGCTAGGGCCAAAACTAACAATAACTGTCGCTACTGCCGATTATTTTCAATTCTCAATTAATCATTTGACGTATAAAAAAGTTGGATAACAGTGAATGATGGGGTTAGAGTCCAGTTAATGTCCTCAAATTGCTTATTTTGTACAACCAACAGTAAAAAACCCCAGATAATTTCCCTTCATTATCATGTAAGAGCAAAGTACTCACAGAAGAGACACAATTATGGTTATTTTTGCTTTAAAAATTTCTATTATTAACAATGACTCAATCATCAACATAGTCGCACATACTTTTTCTGTCAACAATCTTGATCAATCGTCTAATTGTTTTGCCTCTGAAAGTAGCCACACCTCAATGTAAAAAATACCCCATTTGAAGTTATGTATTCATTATTATCAGCAACATTTTACTTAGATAGCAACTTAACACCCTGTTAGCTTCAGCTAGCACTCATTAGGCAGCAGAAAGTCCTCTCTTAGAGTGGTATATTACATAATTCCTTTATTGGATTGTGAAATCTAATAAATATTCCCCTCTGAAATGTGATGAAGTAGAGATATAAAGTAGCACACAATGGAAATGGACTTGTAAAGTACCTCCAAATTGTACTTAAATACAGCCCTTGAGTAGCTGTACAAGAAGCTATCTAAAGCGACGGTATCTAAAAAAGTATTGTTTCTTACTGGTTCTATAATCGTAACATTTCAAATGGCTCTGTCTTTGAAGAGAGATAAGTTTGATCAGATTCAGAACCAGCAGCATTTCGCTCTGTTGACTCTCTTCTCACAGACAAGACAGCAGAATTTGTTCCAGTCAGATTTTCTGGAAAATTCACTGTGTAGACAACAAAGCAATTGCTTAACACAAGTCTTGTGCCTCCGTCTGATTTCAAACTCTGGAGCTTCAGCGTTAAGAGATTGAGGACAACAGAGGGGAGGCGCTCTGGCTTTTGTTTTTGCTCTTTGCTGGAGTGTAAAATCGTCATCCTTCTGCCTCATTAACTTGGCCTTTGATCATTCAACAGAGAACATTCAGCACAGGGATGAATAATTAATTCGCAATTAAAGGTTAAATTCACAGTAAACCTCAGGCATTTGATTTTGACTCGGCTGTTTTTGTAGTGCATTATTGTGCAGCTGCCTGTGGCAGGTCAGTTTGCCTGATTGATATGAGCAATATACCTCTGTGTGTGTGATAAGGTGAAATCTGACTGGCTTTAATTACACTGCCAACCAGGGAGGTATGCAGAGTGGCACTAGACATGAACCAGCGAAGGAGGTCTTTATGGAGAAATGAGGAAAGAGGGGGAATCTGTGAGGGTGCGAATGTGATTAAACTGTTTCTTTGTGGTCACACACACACACACACGCGCATACATTGTGTATTTTTCCACTCATGCGCACTCTCACCATGTCTTCACCCATAATGGAGTGTTAAAAATAGACACGTTGGTTCCTTCTAATTGCTCCATTTAACCCTAAGCCTTTTCGGTCTCTCCTCTTCTCTGTGCCGTTCAGCCAATAAGCACAAGCCATGGATCGAGACAGAGTACCAGGGGATTGTCATGGAGAACGACAACACCGTGCTGCTCAATCCCCCTCTCTTTGCCCTGGACAAAGATGCTCCACTACACTACGCCGGTAACTCCAACAGCACCAAACAGCATGGAAGAATATAGGATGAGAGAGCTGTCAAAAAAAAAATGCTCAAAAATATTTGTACTATTTCCCGAATTTGCTCCGACATTCACAGAACTGGCTACAGTGAAAAATAGGTCAAATCAAGTGCTCGCCCAGCCAAATTGAAAATTATCTCACTAGGCCTTTCTCTGGCTCTAATAGTAAACATGTCACTGATTTTGGAGCTATCAGAGTGCTGGCATTTCCAACCATATTTCCCAATAGGCGGTCTAAATATTAAAGGCAATGTATTCAGTCACAGAGTCCGCTATTTTTAGA